GTTCTCAATTATTAGTTTCTAGTCAAGCTCTTTACCTTATTTTAACGTGAATTTTAACAGACGTATAAGACTATAAACTATAGACTATCTTAGTTTACAACACATTATTACGTCTTTTCCAATTTTAACATTAGAGTGTATTAGATCTTCTACCAAAACAAGATTTTTTATTTTTAAATTTTATAAAGTACGCGTTTCCCTATTTTTTTTTTTTCAAATGTGGAATCCTAAATGATCGACCTTCTTTTGGCGGTACCCCGAAACTTAATGAACAAATTTATTTATCAATTGTGAATATTTAAATTAACGAAATACTTAATTATTTTAAAATTAAGTAATACTTAATTATTTTAAAATTAAGTAATACTTAATTATTTTAAAATTAAGTAATGATCTAAATTTTGAGCCGTGGTGGCTCAGGGGATAGAGAGTTCGCCTCCCACTGAGGTGAATCGAGTTCGAATCAAAGCGATGACTGGTCGATACGACTGCACCCGGCTCGTATCGTAGATCAGTTGTAGATGGATCATGTGTTAGTGTCCCCTTGCCGTCGGGCTAACCGTGGAAGGTTTTCGTGGTTCCTCACCATGCAACGCAAATGCGGTTAGTTCCATTTAAGTCCTCCACGAAAGCAACCCAATACTTGATCCAGGAGTCCTCTTGTCTTCTGGAGTAATTTCAAAATTACAAGGCTATGGAGTTGAACATTAGCAGTCGTAAACTAAAAATTGGGTCTTCTGTTTAATACTGTAATAAATTTTTTTTTTAATTTCATTAATTTAAAAAAAAATATTTAGTCAATGAATGAAGAGTAAAATTTTTTCATCCTATCGTTTTGTCAATATTAGTCTTACGTCAGACAGTTGAATTCGCAGGTCTGGTGCGGCATCTACTCGAGTTTTTAATTTGATTTTAACTCATGCATATTTTGAAAGCGAATGAGCTGAAATGCGTTTTCCATTAAAAATAAAAAAGCGATAAAAAAAAAGCACTGAGAATGGTTATCAGAGAAAGTTACTTCTTCATTGTTAAATTAGGTTATCTTTATTCAATGTGAAATACTAACGGATTTTTTTTTTACATAAATGCATATCTTTTTCATAATTCCATTCATTATTTTGGTATTAAAAAAAACAATTGTTGTGAGATTTCTTTTTTCACAATTAAATAATTTCATAAAAATAACGGAAATATTAAATCAATAATTGATTGTTGATTCGATCTAAATTGAATCACAGGTTTTAGATATAAATAATGACTGGTTAAAAGAAGATTCCTAGCCCTCGGAACACCAGGAACCCTTCCGCGGAACCCTTAGGTTTCGTGGTACACCTTTAGAGAACTAATATTTTTTTCTTCTTTTTCTTTTGTTTTTCCCCCCTTCATCTAAAGCAGGGGTTCCTGAACTTTCTTGTCTCGTAAACCCCTTGCCATGTTTTTTGGTTTTGGGTAGACCCCCTGCTTACCTGATATTGATTTTTTTTGTAAATTCATCAATTTCAAATGTAGTTTTGACTGATGTTATAGTGCTATATTATAGTGCTCACTGTAAAAGATTTAAATTTCTAACTGTAGTGAAGTGTAGTGTGAAAAACTTAAGAAAAAAACACATGCTAATTTTATACATTTGTTAATTTTATACATTTGCTAATTAAAACGAAACAAATTAAAATTTAGTATCTGATATATAAAATAACTAAGCAATAAATAAATGCTTTTAGTGGGAAGGATGAACCTGATGCTTTAATAATAAATTATCAACATTTGACATCAATTTCATATATCTGAAAATAAACCTAATATCTTAAATTTTAATAAAATTTTTACTTCATAGCTACTTTTATAAATTATGTAGAATGTAGATAGATATATGTCTCTATATTATAAGCAGGGGTCTGTCCAGACATTTTGTGAAAGGTCCGTTTTTGGTAAAATTGTGAAAAAATTACTCGTAATTTGTGAATATAAAATAAACGTTAAGTTCAACCAGGGTCCGCTTTTGTGAATTTGTGAAAATAGGGTCCGTTATTGCAAAAAAACTTTTTCAAGGAGTTTTTAAATTGTAAAGACAAACAAGATTATGCTCAACACTGTAAAGTTATAATTAAAAAAATGAAATTTTAAAAAATGAACAGCAAATGCAACTACTAAATTAGCGATTCAACATACAAATATTTGTTATTTAGCCTATACTGCTGAACGCAGAATTTACTGCTGAATGCCGAAGACAAAATTTAGTTCGTTTATATCTGCCTTTATTCCCTCACCCCTACCAGGGAAGGGTTTATTCGATTAACAAAACAATAATGAAGATAAACAAATTTGTGAAGGGTCCGATTAAAAGATAAAATATTTTGTGAAGGGTCCGTTTTTAAGTTAAAATATTTTGTGAAGGGTCCGTTTTAAAGTTAAAATGGTTTGTGAAGGGTCCGTTTTTATGAACAGATATTTTGTGAAGGGTCCGTCAACGGACCCAAATTTCTTCTAAACAGACCCCTGATAAGGTAGTATAATGTAAGTAAATAGGTACTATCAGTGTATGTTGATTATTCCATTCATGAAATGCCAAAATTAAACGTCACGACCTGCTTATATGAGACCCACTATCATTGACCCCCGTTTTAATTTCATGGAGCCCCAATTTTTTTTTTCACTTGACATGTACCCCTTGCAGGTTGTCGTCGATCCCTGGAGGTCGATATAGACCACTTTGGGAATCACTGATCTAAAGGATATGAAAATAGTACAACTTGTGTACACATAGGAAATTCTGATTTCTTTCTACTTGAGAGAACAGTTTTCCGATGTCTCGTACTGGGAATAAAAGATGCATGTGGAGGGGCAAGCGCGTAGAAGGATCGAAGGACTGCTGAGTCAGTAGTAGCTGGCTAGCTGTTAAAAATAAAGTGCCAAGGTGCTTTCGTCTTTTCTCCCAGACTTTTTAAGATATCTCTTAAGTAAATATATCCACTACTTTGTTGAACTTAATTTTTTTCTCTCCTTGTTTTCATTGATCATTCAAACCAGTCTGTTTATGAGGTAAACATTTCAGGAATAATTCTAGACTTTTTGTGAAATTGTGAAAAACATTTATTCATTTTGAGCATTCGCAAAAAATAAGGTCAGTTTTCGTGATATGGGATGTCTGTAAGTGACGTAGTGTGTTTATATCGATCCTGATTGGTTGCTGAAACGTAGCATTTGTTTACATTTGCTACTGTTTATTTCCATTCTGTTTCGGGTAAGCCAAGCCCGTCCAATATCAATTCTCTTAAGTGACACATTCTATATTCTCACACAAAGATTCTTTCATTAAGATTATTTCATTACATATTTCTTATCTCAAAGATAGGCATGAAGTCATGTAGAACATAAACAAACTAATTATGGATCGAAGTTGCCAGGTACATAAAACTTAAATATATCACGGTTACGATAAAATACATAAATAATAAATCTAAGTTAAGTAAACGTAGACGAGAAAGATTTGATGTGCGATACTGTACTGTATTTAATCAACCTCACGTTAATTAATATTCTGACTTATGTGGAGGAAACTTAGCTCAGCTTTCAGACGCCATTTTGCTTCTAAACGATCAGCTGGAGCTGACGTCATTGGTCACGTGTGTGCGGGTATTGTCATCTTCGTCTTGAACTGCAAGTATCCAATTGTGAAATAGGAACATTTATTCATTTTGAGAATTCGCAAAAAATAGGGTCAGTTTTTGTGAAAACTGTTACTCATAGTATAATATAATCATACATATAAATACAATTATAGTAAAAACGGATTTTAGTGTCGAAGCAGAAAAATAAATAAACACGCACACGTGTATTTATACTTATCGGTTACTGGGACCATAAAACCAAATTCGCCAACTCGTCCGTACACGTAGGTACAATTTAGTTAATATACTAGTTCACCTACTACCGATAGATACCGATACATAGGCACATTATCGGTGCGAATATATTGTGACCATTAATGAAAAGAATTCATAATAAAGTGGAAAACATCGGGATTATTAGTAACTATAATTATTGAAAACGATAGTATTGCGATTTTTATCAAAGAGATAATATAGGAATGCTTTTAAAATTCAAAAAAATCATTGTTTTGGCATTTGTACATTAAGAGAGATTTTTGTCCGTAAATTGCCTGACCGAAAATTAATTATTAAACTTATTAATTTGTTAAATAAGTGACCGATGTTAAAATGTGTTCCCGAGCTAGAGTTGCAAAAAAAAAAATTTTTTTTTTAAAGATTGCTTTGAATAAGTATTCAAGGCTGGGTGTGTAGCGTTTCTAAAAAGTGCTTAAAGGTGCTTATTTTCGATTTTCGTTTTTTAAAAGCCCTTAAAGGTGCTTTTTCCATTGGGTGTTTTTAAAAAGTGCTTAATTTTCACTTTTCCAAAATGACATTTTTTCTTTACCATGTTGATTTTTGCTACGAACTATGCAATGCTCTATTCAGCGTTTTCACAATTAATTCAACCACAATCTATTTCGGCGTATTGTCAGTCCGTAGCATATGAATACGCCATTCGTTTTACATTATTCAAAATTGCATGATTTTTGACAATTGTCAAAAGTTTTTTTTTTATACATGACGGTTACAATCAGATAAAACCGTCAATTGTCAAAAACTTTCCAACCCTGCCTAACTATAATATTTTTTTAAAGTGCTTAAAAATATTTTTTTAGTGCTTGAATAGTCCTTTAAAGGTGCTTATTTTTTGTTGAATAATTTGGTTACGCACCCTGCAAGGCTTTAAGAGAACTGAACTCTGGTGTACAAACTGACCCTCAGAATTGAATAAATTTATTTTCTAAAATAGTTATTTTTATCTGTATGCTTATTGTTTCCTCACATATGAATGTTTATTATTTTCAGAATATAATGTTTGAAAAAAAATCATTATTTGTTGTTATTTTGATGAAATTAAAAAGATTCTCTAAAAAGAAAAGACTCTCTAAATATTCTTTCTTTTTAATTTAGATCCGGCTGGGAAGAGTGTACAAAGCTTGCAATCATTTCTACTCACGGATTTCAGCGAAATACTCTACCAACTCTGAATTTTTACAAAAAAGTTAGTTTCTTTTAATATTTTCCATTGTAAAATAGAATCATTCCCTCTTTCAAATGGAATACTTTCCACTGTTAAATATAACATTTAATACTGTTAAGTGAAATGTTATTCTTTTTAAAAGGGCAATATTTTTCACTATAGAATGAAATCAATCATTAGTACCTATCCTATGAAACAGATCTAAAGTTTAGAGATTGTTCATTTCTAATTTTCAGTGCAAATCTACAAATTTTAGCTCCGCCTTCTAAGCACTATACTATTTTAACCCTCTGAACCCTGTAATGATTCGAACTATAACTCTCGTGTTTTTCTCATTGCCACACAGTAAAAAATTTCTGCACAACTTAGCCAAGTGGCTTTAAACCTGGGGTCTGTCCAGACATTTTGTGAAAGGTCCGTTTTTGTTAAATTTTGAAAAAAATTACTCGTAATTTGTTAATATAAAATAAACGTTAAGTCACATTCTTTCAACCAGGGTCCGCTTTTGTGAATTTGTGCAAATAGGGTTCGTTATTGCAAAAATATTTTTTAAGGAGTTTTTAATTTGTGAAGACATACAAGATTATGCTCAACACTGTAAAATTATAATCAAAAAAATTTAATTTTAAAAAATAAACAGCAATTGCAGCTACTAAATTAGCGATGCAACGTACTGATATTTGGTATTTAGCCTATATTGCTGAATGCAGAATATTCATTTCGGACGAATAAAGGAAGAAGCGTTTGCCGAAGACAAAATTTAGTTCGTTTACATGTCTTTCTCCCCCCCCCTTCCTGGGAAGGATTTATTCGATTAACAAAACAATAATGAAGACAAACAAATTTGTGAGGGGTCCGATTGAAAGATAAATTATTTTGTGAAGGGTCCGTTTTTATGAAAAGATATTTTGTGAAGGGTCCGTTAACGGACCCAAATTTCTTCTAAACAGACCCCTGCTTTAAACTGAAATGCAATTATTTCCCATTTTGCTGATGAATGTGTCGTTAACACTAGAAAGACTGAAACTTAGTATATACCTATGTAGCCCAAAAGCAGTCAAAATGACTGGATTGTAAAAGAATAAATAATGTTTAAAGAAACTTGTTTAAAATTAATTTTTAATATTTTTTTAAATATTATTTACAGTTATATAACAAGTTATTAGTAAATATTAACAATTAAAAAAAATTATGTGTTGTACAAAAAGTCACAAAATTCTAAGAATTTGTGTCGTTATATACATCATTGTTTTTTCTAATTGAAATTAAAAAGCAGTCAAAATGACTTCCTTAGGCAATCTAGTATTAAATAGAGAAATAGTGGCAAATTATCGATATTTTGTTATGAATTGAAACGCTGATTGAAATGAACACAATGAAAAATCGAACGCTGATTAAAAAGAATAGAATGAAAAATCTAAATTCGAAAAATCAAGTAGATCACAGCAAGTGAGGTGAGGCTATAATAGATGGATGAATTTATCAACAAGTGAATGGGAAAATTCAACAATTGTCCTATAAATCGGGAAGTGGGGGTGGTTGCACGTGTTCTCCCACAATCTAATCCTTCCCCTGAGGGTGGTAGGGGAGAAATTATTAAGCATATTGAGCAATTAGTCGGGCCATTTCGTTTTTTCCCTTCCACTCTAAAGGGAGATCAGTTCAAACTACGCCTTTTGATTATTTTCTTTTTTATCTATTTTCTCCCTGTGGATGCTTCTTTCTTTCTTTCCTTCCTAGGTTAGTTTTTTTTTCTTTTTTTCCTGCAGACTATTGTATTTTGCTTCTGCAATATAAGTAGAACTCTAATAATGATATTTAAGCTGATATACACATTAAAAATTTCGATTTCTTTTTATTGTTGCAGTCAAACCCCGCTATAGTGAATCTTCAAGAGACCAAAAGTTTAGTTCTCTATAACCGGGAGTTCACTATCCCTACTGCAAACAGTTTTAACTAATTTTACCGAACTGCTCCGTTTTATTACACATTATTTAAATAAATGACCAATGAAAAGAATTAAAAAAAAAACAATATGTAGTTAAAAAAATGTGTTAACTTTTATTTTTTATGCATATTTTCCTTCCGATTTTTGCGTATTGATCAGAAAATATGTGATTGTTTTTAAAACAGTTGCTTTGTAACTCTTGAAATCAGTCAGAAAGTAACTATGATTATATTTGCAATGGTTTTATTTTTCTTGACTCTTGCTTATTGGTCAGAAAATAAATGATTATTTTCGGCTCAGTTGCTTCTTGACTCTTGAAATCAGTCCGAAAGTAACAATGGTTATATTTTCAAGACTTTATCTCTCGCTTATTGGTCAGAAAATAAGTGATTGTCTTCGGCTCAGTTGCTTTTTAACTCTTGAAATCAGTCAGAAATTAACAATGATTAGATTTGAAAGAGTTTTTCCCTCCCCCTCCACTCTTGCTTATTGCCAGAAAATTGTTTTCGGGATTGTTACTTTGTGACTCTTGCTATTTGCCGGAAAATAATGATTGGTACATATGCCACAACATTTTCCCTTGACTCTCGTTTATCCGTGATACATATTACCAAAGTTTTCCCCTGACTCTTGCTTATCCATGATATATATTTCTAACATTTTGCCCAGATTCTTGCTTATTCGTGATATTTCCAACAAATCTCTTTACTTTTTCTTATTCGTGATATTTCCCCCTGACTTTTGCTTAGCCGTGATACATATTTCCAACATTTCCCCCTCATTCTAGCATATTCGAGATATTTCCAACGTTTTCCCCCTGACTCTTGCTTATTCATGATATATATTTTCAACAATTTCCCCACTTTCTTATTCGTGATATTTCCAACATTTCCCCTTGACTATTGTTTTTTGCTCAGAAAATATCAATGATTTTTCAGTGATTTTACGATGATTATATTGCAGCATTGCACGCTTTTGCTATTGGTCAGGAAATAGCGATGATTAAATTTGCTACATTGTTTTTCTGGCAGTTTTCTTTTAACTTTTTCAGACAGAAAATAACGATGGCTATTTTTGCAACAGTTTTTTTTTCCTTCAGGCTCTTGCTTATAGATCAGAAAATAATACAATTAATTTTGCAACTCTTACTTCCTTTTATAATCTTATTACTGAATTAAAAGACTAGATACGACAGTGAACTATCATTGTGTAAAATAAATTATTATTTTTCTTTAGACACAAAAAAAAATAGTAGCGTTATAACGGTAATAACTCAGTTTAAGCTATAAGTTTTATAATCTTTTATATCACACAACCCAAACGACTTAATGTTGATTGTTCAATGATTACTCTGCATTCACGATAATTAAGTGCAGAATCCCCCCCAGAAACCGCTGTTTACTTTTCGTATGGGGCTATTGTTGAATCATCGTGTTTAAAGAAGATCTCTTGCAGAGTATATTTCATCTTTTAATGTCTCCCTCCCACGTTCTAATGTGGGCGTCAGTTGAGAATATGGCATTTAATACTCCCACAGTTAGGGGGAAAAAAGTTGACTTTGAGGTGAAGATGTTCTGGGTGATGGAAGAAAAATTGCCTTCATAAAGAACGAATCGTGTGGGAGAGGGTGGGGTTTGGCGTTGCATTTTGAGGTAAAACGCCCTTAGCAAGTGGGTTTTTTACCTCTTGGCAGGTTCCCTAATGGTTGAGACTGATCTTTTTTTACCTTATCATTAGTTTCTTTAATAATAAAATTTCCTTTGTAAATGGGAGAGGGGGATTAATAGCTACTGCTTAATTTGTCAACAGTTACTGTAAGCAATCAATGCATTAGTCGACCATTTTTTTCATTGTTACGCAGGGTACGTAGCGTTTTTAAAAAAGTGCTTAAAGGTGCTTATTTTCGGTTTTCGTTTTTTAAAAGCCCTTAAAGGTGCTTTTTTTAATAGGGTGTTTTTAAAAAGTGCTTAATTTTCCCTTTTCCAAAATGAGATTTTTCCTTTTCCATGTTGATTTTCGCAACGAATTATGCAGAAAGACACTGTTCACATTGTTCTATTCAACGTTTTCACAATTAATTCAACTCCAATCTATTTCGGCGTATCGTCAGTCCGTAACATATGAAAACGCCATTCGATTTACATGATTTAAAAAATTTTGACGATTTTCAAAAACAATGCCGGAAGGATTTTTTTTTTTTTGACATGACAGTTAAAACAAGATAAAACCGTCAACTGTCAAAAACTTTCCAATCCTACCTAATTGTGATTTTTTTTTTTTTTTTTACAGTGCTTAAAAATATTATTTGAGTGCTTGAAAAGTGCTGATTTCTTGTTGAATATTTTGGCTGCTCACCCTGTTACGGTTAGTTTTTTTATTGCATATTGCGCATAACTTTCGTATATTAATTAGGAGTTAGAAATTGAGAAAATTTAGTCACTAGTCCACAGTACTATTAACTCAACAATATTACTAATCCGTTTACAATGCCTGAGGTGACCAAGTTCGAATGCCAACGATGGCTCATCGTTACGAATTCCTTACCCGGATCGTACATACCACAGTGCTGTCGTTAAATTTGCTCAGTGGTAAACGGATGATGGATTAGAGTATCCTTGTCGTCACGCTAACCGGGAGAAGGTTTCCGTGGTTTTCTCCTCCATGTAACGCAAATACGGGTTAGTTGCATCAAAAATTTTCCACGAAGGTAAATGTCTCCCGATACTTGATGCAGGATTGGGTTCAAAATTATAAAGCTACGGAGTTGAACATTAGTAGTGGTAAACTCAAAATTGGGTCAACGGTGATAAAATAAAATCAACTCTGTTTACATGCATTTGTTAGACTTTTTTTTCGAAACGAAGTTAATAAGGTGAGCTTAAATGAAAAATTGCATTGCGGAGAATATCTAATGTTTATAATTATTATGAACTCTGCTATTTTGGTTCACAGACCAAAAAACGATGCTGATAGTCATAAAATCAAAACAGCATTCATTTACATCGATTGCTACTCACTGATAATTATTTTAGGATGATCCGAGTTAAATTTTAGTGGTCCTAGACCGTTAATT